AAAAAAAAAAAAAAAAAAAGAAAAAAGAAAAAAATGTTGAAAACTCTTATGAGTAACTTCCCAATTTCACATTAAAGACAAGTCTATGAAAAAGAAAGTCTGTATAAGAGAGACAACAAAAACAAATCATAAATTAGGTCAGCAGACTTACAATAATATTTTTGCAAGAGGCTTTTATAAGTTTTGGCTAGCTTTTAAGCTAGGGATATAAGATGTCCCAGGAGACTCATTGAGCTCAGGAATTCAATGTCTGACAGCGTCAGATGGAATGTCCTTCGTGATCCTGGCTGAGCATTTGTCCTCATACTCAAGTACAGATCATTCCATGGATCTAAGTCTGTGCTTCCAATGACACACCAAATACCTTATTTTTAATTAGGCAAGGTATTAAGTCCTTATTTTCAACCATACCTATTCAAGTTTTAGTTCTATATGCATTCTCTGATCTGCATTAGAGAAGAATTTTTTATTTACTTAAAACCATTACTAGTAGTTCTTTCTAACAACTCTGTACTTATTTTAGAAACTGGCTTCTTGGTGGAAAATAGCATGTTTACTCTACCACATCATTTCTTTTTATGAGATTGTAATTCTATCTTCTTTCAATCATCATCTTCTGAGATCAAGAAAGAATTACTGGGTATAGGATAGCCTGACCTAACAAAGATTTTTCTTGTAGAGGCCAGAGACATAGTAATAACTGGAATTGGTGTCAGAATCATAAAAACACAGGCAGGCAAGACCTCTCTCTCAGTATCTGAAGAAGAACTGATGCAATAAAAGAAAGACATCTTATATATCATGAAGTATACTAGAATGAGTATAGATAAATCCTAGAATTATTTTTTAAATGCATTTGGCAAACTAAATTTTACACACTAACCAAACACTACCTGAAATTAATGCTAGTTTCTCCAAATTATTAGGCAGTTGTCCTAGTCTACTGTGACATTAAAGAGAAGAACACCTGGAAAAATAAAAATGAATCTTCGAATGCAGGTGAGATCCTTCAGTAATCATTCTGTGTTGTGCCATAGTCTAACTGATCTTATGTTACTCGTATAGGACGTTATGTTAAATACTGTAACAATTCAGGGGAAAAAATTTTAAACATGAGGCTTTGTCATGTTTTACACTCATATTTCAGTAACCTCACAAAATTAAAAATGTCTTCTACATGAACTGTCAAGAGAATTGTGTATTTTGTGGAAGTGATATTGTAACAAGTTCTGGATGACACTGTTACTAGTCTCAAGGGAACAGAACAAGTACAAAGGCAACTTTATTACAATACTTTTCCAAACTTCAAAATGCATTTATTACTGAATTTAGAGCTAATATATAATACACTATATTACAAGGCAGAAAGCATTTCTGGTCATATATTTGGCTTCCATGTATTGCCCAAAACGTAGCTTCCTAGGAATAGCAGCAATGCACAGTAGTTGTATCACTAAGGAAAATATTTTATCTGATGTCCCATAATCACTCATAATACAATTTATTTTATGTTCTTTTCTTCTGATTAAGAAAAAAGCAAAGCTATCTTTTCTATATCTTATTAGTTAATGCCTGGAAATCATCTATACTATAAAAACATCCACCAGTTTAGAAATATTTCCTTTAGTAGGAAATAGGACTTTTGAATCCAACCAAAGCAAAGAACACTGTATTTCCCCATTGAATGGGGGTAAAATTCTCTTCTTTCCTTTTGCAGGAACCAAATCTGGGCCTTCTTCTCTTCACATGGCCATCCGGAATAGTTCCTGATTTAAAAGATACCTGTATCTAAAATAAATGCTTCTCTAATAGAGTCTTGCCTCCTCACATTTCCTTACTTACTTACAATCAACTTTGAACAACATAATAATGAATTTAAAAGTAATCTTGGGAAATGTCATGTCATAACATAAAGGAAGTATTTTCCAAATTAGACAAGGATATTATTTGCTTCAACCAACCAACACCAAAATCAAATTATGAAAATAATTCCTTTTCCAAAGTTACTACCCTAATAACAATGAAAACAGATATAAATCCACTGAATAGACTAGTCCCTTACTTTTCTTTTTTGGGGGTTTTACATTTGTGAGCTACCAACTAGCACAAAACATGTTCATCTTCCTTGTCCTCGCAACAATAGGAAATTGTTAGAAAAGTATAGAAAAGGTTCTATTTTTTTCTTAAGACAAATTTAACATAGATTTTGCTATGGAGTTGGAAAAAAAAAGAAAAAGTGAATGAAAAGGTATGTGCTGGCTGATTAGGGGACAAGGCTCATAAATCACTGTACGTTAAGAGCACGTGCTGAAACTTCATGGTGCCAGTCACGTAATTTTGTGTATTTGGGACTAAAGACGTGAAGGGGTATCTTTTCCCTGTGGAAATAAAAAAAGAGTGATAGAAGAGTCATAAGAAAGAGAAAGAATAAAGATTCTACACTAATCCATCATGCAGAAAACATGCCCTATAAAAGCTTTATTTCACATAGCTGTTTTATTAAATAGCAAAGATTTTAAGAGAGAACATTTTATAAACACAGAAATTAATCTATTGAGCCCTCTTGGAAACATCAATTTTTACATCCAAAACAAAGTGAATGCAAAACGACACATGAACTCATTCACAGAGACATGTATTGTTAGTAAAGCATCCCAAAATATAACCTTCTGAACATTTCTTATTTCAATATTAAGAAAAATAAAACTTAGATATACAATCGAGCGAGTATTGACTAATTTAAAAACCTGTAAGTTGTACATTCAGATCACACAAAAGGCACCAAAGTTAAATGCTTAGCTTGTAGTTGCAGAGATACAATGCCATACCATTACACTTGAAAATTTGAAAAACAAAATTGAGGCCATTTAAGAAAGGAAAGCATTCAATTAACAAAAAGATGGAGAACTTACTTTGTCTTCTTTGTATTATCAGTTTCTGATTCTTTCACTGAAATATAATAAGCAATACCCAGTATTAGTTAACTTTTTGTTTAACTTCGAAATCACTTAAGCAATTACGTGTACCCATAGCAAATGTTCAAGTTTCACAGATCCACTAAAACAAATTCCATACCAAGTTGTTATTAGTTATATCCTATAGTTGGTACTACCACTCCTTCTACATCTTCCAATGCTCCTCTTCTGGGCTGATGTCTTATTTATAGTACCCATATTATCCACTGCATAATTTAAAAGCAAACTGTCTCAGGGTTGTTTTCTAATAACTGCCAATCAGTCTAAATGCTGGATTTTCTGTGGCAAAAAACAAACTAAACAACATAAATTCATCCACTAAAACACCAAGAAGTTACTTACGATGTTCAGTCCCAGTGATCTGGGCAAGGATTCGGAAAGAGCGAGACTGAGTTGTTCCAGTCCTTGGACGCCAGTCTTCAGTATCCTCCATCAGTCTCTTCTTGCTGGCATCACTGTGAGTGGGTATGTGGTAAAACTCTGTATTGCGCTCCACAATGTGTTTTCTTGGTGGGCTAGGGTTAAGAAGAAAAAGGAAATAATTAAAACTTATAAAATCATATTAAAAGGATAAAATATCCTCCACTAAATAAACAATAACTTACACATTTAATCCACAATGTTCTTTTTATAGAAATAGTTTGCTTTTGCAAGCATACTCAGCTTCAATTTTTTTTTTTTTGAGTCAGAGTCTCACTCTGTCACCCAGGCTAGAGTGCAGTGGCACGCTCATGGCCATCCCAGCATCGACCTGCTGGGCTCAGGTGATCCTGCCTCCTCAGCCTTCCAAATAGCTGGAACTACAGGCACATGCTACCTTGCCCAGCTAATTTTTTGTTATATTTTAGAAACGAGATCTCACCTAGTTACCCAAGCTGGTCTCGAATCCCTGGGCTCATGCAATCCTCTTGACTCGGCCTCCCAAAGTGCTGGGATTACAGGCTTAAGCCACTGTGCCTGGCCAGTTTCAATTTTTTTTAAAGCATCTTTCTAACATACACATGGGAGTTATTAGTTTTTAAAAATGCACTTATAATGTTACTATAAAATAATGCTATATGAATGTATTCAACAGGAAGATTACCGTTTAGGTGGGACTTTCCTTTTAATTGACAGAGGAAGGCAGCAGAAAAAAGATTTCCAACATGATGAAAAAGGAAAGGAAAAAGATAAGGAAAAATAAAATAAAATAAGTAGAAAATGAATCGTTCACAGTCGTCAAAATCAAACAACTTTAAATTACTAGTATTGTTCATTGTATGCCATACAAAACACAGGTACGGACTATATTCACAACCACAGTTAAATATCAATATACTGCTAGAATGTACTTGCTTTCACAAAATTAATCATATTTTCACAAGTTCCAGGAAACAGAATGGTGTAGTCTATACCAGGAATTTCAAACTCAATTTTGAAAAGGGTCCAAATTATTATTTCCTACAGCTTTCTAACTCATATATACTGATATTCTTTATACCAAGTAAAGTTGTTGTGCAGGATCAGCATAGTGAACAGATGTGGTATATTAAAAACTAATGAAATATGCACAAAAAGAAGATTTAAATCTTGGCTCTATGACTTTTCAGAAAGCCCATCTCATTAAGCCTCAATTTTTTTCACTCATAAGACAAGAAAACCACATACAAAGCAGCATTGTTCTAAGGATTAAATAATATGTGTGAAAGAGATTTATAAACTATACAATACAAGAACTTTTAACTTGCTAAGAACACTCCTTTTTTCTATTAAACCATAAATATTAAGGAATTTACAATGTACATTATTTTAATACTTTAAGATATCGAGGATAATAAATACTTTCCCTTCTACCCCTTAAAATAGGACAAATGAAAACGTTTGGAGGCTATACATTTAATTTTAGAAGAGTAGAAGAAATACGAGTCTGGGCTAGCAGAGTACTGGTACAAGATCCAAGTAGAGAAAGTGTTCTAAATGCAGTCAGATGTGGGTGGCAACACCTGCTAGGTGTAACTCACTGCTAGAAAATCATAATACCATCAGCAATGTATTTCACTGTTGTCATTTGAATAGTTACACTATCAAAACCATTTCAGCACACCGGAAGAGTTTTACCCCTATGAAGAACATGACTGAATTAAAAAGTCTGGTTCAGTGTGCTGTATACAAGTCATTTAATTTATCTAAGTTTTTTGGTTTTTTTTTTTTGAGTTGGATTCTCACTCTGTCGCCCAGATTGGAGTGCAGTGGCCACTCCCGGCCACTGTAGCCTCGACCTGCTGGGCTCCGGCGGTCCTTCCGCCTCAGCCTTCCGAGTAGCCGGAATTACAGGCGCGCGCTACCACGCCCGGCTAATTTTTTGATTTATTGTAGAGATGAGGTCTCGCTGCCCCAGGCGGGTCTCGAACCCGTGGGCTCAGGCAATCCACTCACCTCAGCCTCCCAAAGGCGCGGGATTACAGGCTGAGCCTGGCTTAATTTATCTAAGTTTTAATTTTCCCATTTGTGAAAAAAGACTTGCATCATAAAGGATTGATCATAAGAATAAATAAGAGAGATAATGTATGTAACACATAGTATGATCATTATGATGTATTCTTTTATGATTACTAGAAAATCAATTTCAATGCATGTTCTAAGACTATAGGTCCAACTGCATATATAAAAGAACATAATTAATAATACTGTATTTATGCACATAATAATAAAACATATTATAATCTATGATAATATCTTATGATTTCATAAGTGAAAGAAATATCTAAAAGATGTTCCACTAATACTGAACAAAACCTAGTCCTTTTTAAAATGGACAAAATTTTTAAAAATTGAGAAACAGGTATAGATTACTTCATAAACGCACTTTTGACATATGTAAGACCAGACAACTCTTTATGTTATGCAAGTACATTAAAAAGTTTATATTCATCTATTAAATTTATTATAGTTTAAAACTTCTCTATAATTATTGCATGTAGTTCACTTTGAAATGGTGCCAATTTCAAGTATAAGATGATTTTATCCTTTATAAAACATTTGGTCTATAAAAACAAAACAATGTGTCAAGCTAAGGATACTAAGAGTAATAAAATGACACCACTTAAGAAGCATTTTTAGCAATGACATACTTGAGAAAAGTATAGTGTATCTTAAACTCTTTGTTTCATTTTCCACAGCTTAAAAAACATGTCTTGTGTTAAGATTTCTAAACATTTACTTAGTGCTCTCTGGCTCTGAAATTCTAGACTCTGATGACCATGATTAAAGAGAAAATAATTTCTTAAACTGTATTAAAAAATGTATTAAAATAATTAAAATAAACTGTATTAAAAAATGTATTTGGGAGAGAAAGTAAACTTAACTCTCAAGAGCAAGTAATTCATTTAAAAAATATGGACATTCAAATTTTAAAAAAAGAAAACTAAAGAAGGAAGGCCCAAACTACATCTCTAATTCCATTATACAGAATACTTGTCTATTCCCCAAAGGTTAAATAAGCTTTACCACTGCAGAAGAGTGGGCATTCTAAACATATCCACTGATTATATGAGTTCCCTAGCATAAAACATGTTTCTTATGCTCCTTAACATTTCTGAAAATTCTTGAAATGAGAAGTTACTAACAAAATCTACTGGAGATATTAAATCGAAAGTAAGATGGAAAGTTACAAAGAAATGAAAATTTAAAAACAAACCATTGGTTAAGTACTTACATAGTGCCAGGGTTACTGAAGGAAATACACACATAAAAAGATGTGATAGAGTAGAGAAGACATTGATGTTCCCAGGATGATGAACAACAGACAAAGATGAATTTTTAAAAAAAAGATAAAATGAAATGAAATTCAAAACAATGAATTTAAGTGAAGATGCTACACAAATATCATGCTTCAAAATAATCATGTAAACACAGAAAACAAAAATTAACAAGTGTTAGTCACAATTCTGCTACATTATTATAATCAAGACAACAATTTTACCCCCCAACACTGAATCTGTTTTACCCCTGCAAACACTGACTACTACTTTATTTATTAATGCTAGTGCAAGTCTCAGGTTACTGACCAACAAGAGACAAAGATACATTTTTCAAAATGTTCATGTTTTTATAAAACTTTTTTTTTTGAGTTGGAGTCTCACTCTGTCGCCCAGACTGGAGTGCAGTGGCC